CCAGCCCTCCCAGGAGGCTCAAGATAAGCCTCCTGTGTTAAATGCTGACATTTCCCGGTGACTGCTTGCCTTGCTGCTTTGGGGAGCTCTTTTATCAGAAATGTTCATCTTTTGCCTGTTACATGTGTGGCGAACATTTTCTCCCCGTCTGTCGCTGAGGTATCATCCTTGTCTGTGGGATCTCTGGCAACCCAGAAAGCGTCAGTGTTTGCAGGCCGGTCTGATGCTGTGTTTCAGGATTTGGGCCTGTCTGCCTTGCTGAGGAAGGTCTGTGCTCCGTTCAGGCTGCGCGGCACCCCGGGGCCCCCTGCCCTCCTGGGTCAAAGGCAGGCCCTCTTGGGTCTGTGTGGGGTGTGGGTGTGGGCAGGACCCCCTGTGTGACCTTGTTTACCTGCTGCCCCCTGCCTGAGGAAACCCAGATGGGTCTCCTGAGTCTCTGGGAACACCGTCCAGCTGAGGCAAGAGACCCGCCCTGCTCCCGGGGCTCAGCTGGGGCCTCGCCTCTGTTTTTCACCCTTAGGACCTTGGGAGCTGCGGCCCGGGCCCCCTCCCTACAGCCCAAACCACTTCTGCCTTCCTGGCAGGCGGGCGGGTGGGCGGTGCCTGCGGAGTGCTGAGTCCAGATTTCCCCATTTCCCGCTGCAGCTGCATTTCTGCTGTGTCACGGTTGGGAGGGGGGACTCGCCGAGACAAGGAGAAGGAGGAATTTGCTGAGTCACCGGCCACTTCCTCAGCCTCCCTCTGGGTGGTCGGTGAAAGGGCAGTTTCACAGCGGGCCTGAGGAAGTGAAACTTCTGGAAAAGGCCAGAAGACTCCTATTTACCTCCAAGTCTGCACACTGTTTGCAAAGCCCGGTCCCATACATCTTTTAAAATGGATTTGTCCAAGGCCGCGCTGCCCAGCTGCCCCCATGGCGTAACTGGCGACTCCACCTTCCCGGGTGGAAAACTGTGGAGTTCTTCTTGACTCTTCTTTTTTCTCATATCCCACTTCCTATTCTTCTGAAACTCTTGATGGCTCTGCCTTTAAAATAGGGGTGTTTTAGGTCACTTCTAGCCCCGTCCTGCCCAAGCCACCATCACCTCTCTGCTGGATTACTCCAGTGGCTGCCCTCTGCCCTTGGCCTTCTGCAGTCCAGCCTCACCCTCAGCAACCACAGTGACTGACCCCACAGAAACCCAGGGAGATGCCGGCACTGCTCCCCTCCAAACCCTGGAGTTCCCCCCCGCCCCCCCCCCCAAAAGGCCTTTGTGACAGCCTGCAGGCCCCTCGGGCTCTGTCCCCCTTCTCTCCCTGCCCTCCTCTCCCGCCCGCCCCTTCCCTGCCTGCTCCAGCCACACTGGCTTCCATGCTGCTGCTTGTCCACGCCGCATGTGTCCCACCTTGGGACCTTGGCCCTGTCTTTTCCCTGCTGCTTGAGACAAGATTCCGCCATACCTCCCAGCCTGTGCGGTCCGCCTTACCTGCCCCTCATTTAACACTGCCATCCTTGAATGGCTCTCACAGGTTGCATCTCTCTGACCTCTCCTGCCGGGTCTCTTTGCCTCCAGCCAGGGCAAGCTCTCTACTTTTAAGGGCCCCTGAGACTAGGCTCGGGCCCCCCAGAGGATCTGAGGGGATCTCTCCGCTTTAAGGTCTGTAACCTTAATTCCATCGGCAAAGTGGAATTAATTCAATGGTAACACATATTTGCAGGTTCCAGGTACTGGGGCACAGACATCTTGGGAGGGACATGGTTCTGCCCACCACAGATAAACTCCCCCCTCCCGGGCTGGGTGAGGATGGAATTGACGGGGCTGGGCAGAATGCCTGGCTCGGAGCAGACCGCAGTGTTTCTTTCTAATTCCATCCACATTTGTCTTCCGTGCCACAGTGCCTGTTCTGGATCATTTTCTCCCGTCCCAGACTTCCTCCATTAGGGTCCTGAGCACGCATGCTCTGTCAAGACGTGCTTCTACCCTCTTCAGCCTTATAACTCCAGCGCTCATACAGAACGGGCCCATTCGAGCTGCGCAGGCATTTGAGTCAGGAAGGAAGGCTTGGAGAAGAGGTGGTGGGTTCGCGGACAGAATAAAGCCTTCGTGGAGGAACACGAGACATTGTGCTGGGAGACGGCAGAAGAGGGGCGTTGAGGGAGAGCCCCTGGGAGCTCTCTGTCCATCCCTCTCCTGCCTCCCAACGCGGAGGCTCTGCCCCAGGTGTGAGGAAGACAGGCCGTGAGTGGCGGGTAGGCCTCCCCTATTGCTGTCATGCCACACCGCAAACAGTAGCTTCAAACAGCACAGTTTATGCTCTGCAGTTCCTGAGGTCGGAAGTCCTAAAATGGGTCTGCAGGGCCCATTCTGGTTCCTTCTGGAGTTCTAGGGGAGCATCCAATTCTGTGCTTTTTCCAGCCTCTGGAGGCCACCTGCTGTCCGAGCCTCGTGGCCCCTAGCTCCACCTTCAAAGCTGGGAGCAGTGCATCTTCCAATCCCGCCCTCTGTCCTGCTTCCCTTGTCACAATCGCCTTCTGTATCTGTAACCATCCAACCTCCCTCCTACAAGGACTTTTGTGAAGACATTAGGGCCCGTACAGATAATCCAGGATAATCTCCCCATCTCGAGATGAGACCTTTAAGGTAACCACATCTGCAAATCCCTTTTGCTGTGTGAAGTAAGATATTCACAGGTTCTGGGAATGAGGCTGTGGCCATCCTTGCGGGGCCATTATTCAGCCTCCACGGGAGGAGAAAGAATGCCACTCGGATCACTCCCGTTGCTTGAGGACAGGGAAGAGGAAGTCAGGAAGCTGAATCAGCATGGGGTACGGCGGCAAGCTCAACACTGGGACAGAGAAGACAGCCACATCAGCTCTGACCTGGCCTCCTCTGCCCTGGGGTTGTCCGTGTGTGGGGTCTGTGCTAGCTAAGTCTGGGGCTCCCAGTTGGGACGAGGGATACTCCTGGAGGACAGACTGGCCCCTCGGTGAGAGGTTAGGAGCAGGGGCTCTCGCTTCAGAGTGCCATGGTTTCAATCCTGACTCTGCCATCACTAGCTGTGTGACTTGGGGAGACTACTTAACCTCTCTGTGCTTCAGTGTTTACACGGACAAAATGGAGTTGAAAATGCTGATACCTTGCGGGGCTGTTGTCAGATCCTACACATAGTAAGTGTTCAATAAGGGTTGGCCAAGTTTGCAATTTGTAACTGTAGCTTGGTTCCAGCCCTTTCGGGCAGCCTAACAATGTTATTGTTTTTACCAGAAAGAGATTTTGTGGTGTCTATAGTCATATGACACATAATGACGTTTCGGTCAACAACAGACCGCATATATGATGGTGGTGCCATAAGATCAGTACCATGTAGCCTAGGTGTGTAGCAGGCTGTACCATGTAGGTTTGGGTAAGCGCACTTTGTGATGTTCACACAACGACAGAATAGAGTGACAGTGCATTTCGCAGAACGGGTCCCATCATTGAGTGACAAGTGACTGTATTCATTCACTCATTCATTCAGTCCGTGTTGACTGCCACCTGCCAGGCACGGTTCCAGGCTCTGGGGATTTGCAAAGCAAAGCAGACAAGTTCTCTGCCTCCTGGAGTCTACAGTCTAATGAGGGCACTGGTTTCTCATGGTCCTGATTTCTGGAAAGTTCTTGGCAGCTCTTTTTGGAATCACCTAGCAGCAACAGTTCTGACCTCTGTGCGTCTTGTAAAGCAGTAGGCACCACCTTTCCAAGACAGCCGTCGGGGGAGCCTTCTGGGCTGCAGTGGGAGCAGCCATGTGCCTCTGGCTGGTTTCACCCTCTGCCACTTTCTGGGAGACGATTCCCCACTTTGGAGTTTTTGTGGTGGACGGCCTGGGTTCAAACCCTTATCTTAACCTCTCTGCCTCAGTTTCCTCATTTGTAAAATGGGGGTAATAATATCACCAACCTGTGAGGTCACTATGAGGATTAAATGAGTTCATACATGTAAGTGCTTAGAATAGTGTCTGGCGCACAGCGGGTGCTCAGTGAACGTCCGTGTCAGTATGGTTACCATTGTTCACAGAAGCAGGAGCTGGCAGTACAGTTTATGCAGAGGGCTGCCCTCCCGCCATAGGCCCTCTAACCAGAAGGCTCAGCCACGCCCAGGTCGCTGGATTGACTTGGGGACTGAAAGTCAGGGAAGTGAACCTGGAAGAGGAAGCTGGGGAATCTATGCTGGACAGGCGGTCCTCAAGCCGGTACTGCCGTCCTTCAGAAGTGGGGCACTTGCCGCCTCCATTTCCAAATGGCACCCTTGCACTGAGCCAAAGTCACCTCTTCTTTGTAAATTTGGAACCCAGGACTGTGGCACTGGGAGGGGACTTCAGGAACCAGCCAGTCCATTTGTGTTGTCATCTGGGCTCACCCAGTGACCTGCTCCCCTCACCCCGGGGTTGAATTCAGTAGTTGATCAGCGAGGGGCGGCTCTGTTCCAGGCCTGGAGCGGGCGCTGGGGACGAGAGGTGAGCCAGATGTGACAGCCCTGGAAGGGCGCCCTGGCAGGCAGGCGGGGAGGCGGTTGGTATGACAAGTGTCTCGGTCAAGCTGTGCACCAGGTGCTGAGAGGCTGGAGGAGGCAGGCAGAGACTTGAATGCACCCCAGGGTGAATTCCCGCTTATGTGAGACCGTGGGCACGCCACTTCACTCCCTGAGCCTCAGTTTCCCCGTCTGTAAAATGGGGGCCATCTACGCCACAGGATAGTGGCAGGGACGGATGGTGACAACAGTATAGTCTCCAGCCGTCAGTGGGTGCTCAGAAACAGGCCCTAAACGTACATTAAAGGGACCGTGAGGCGGCAGGATCAGCTGAGGGTTGGGTGGGGGAGGTGACACTTAGGGAGCAAGCCCCCAGCAAAGGGGAGGAGGGGACTGCAGGCAGGGGCTGGGTGCTCAAGTCCCATCCCCGCGTGGGGGGCCCTGAAAGGGGCCACATCACACAGCGGCTCAGATTTCCAGAAAAGGTTTTTTTTAACGTCCTGTTTTAAACAGCTTTGTTTTCCAAGGGTCATATGACCGCCCCCCCCCACCCCCACCGCCGGGGGCGCGCGGGCGGGGCGCGCGGGCGGCGCGGGTGTTGCAACGTGGGGCCCGGGGAGTAGGATCCGCCGGGGGCCGCGCCCACGTGACGCGGCGCGGGGATAAATGGACGGCGCGGCCGGCTCGGCACAGTCACCCTCCCGCCTCCTCCTGCTTGTCTGGAGTCGTCGGAGCCGCCCCGGAGCCAGCCGAGCGCCGCCGCCGGATGGAGCACCCGCAGCAGCCGGAGGACAGGCAAGCGCGGGGACGGCCTCTCCCGGCGGGGGGGGGGTTCCCGGTCTCAGTCCCTCCGGCCCAGCCCCGGGGGTCACCTCGCTGAACGGCCGAACCCTTGGGCTTTGGGGTCAGGAGGAGCTGGTTCCAGTCCTGCCTGTGCCAGTAGGGTAGTTAGAGGGGGGGAGGATGGTTTGCAAGCCTGGCGCCCTGGCACGGGGTGGCGGCCCGATGACAGTGTCGCTATGGTGTCCAACTGTGTTTGGGGTGTTGGACTTTTGAGGGCGTTTGGAGTTGCTCTGCTTACTGTAGGATGCCTGTGGCCACGGAGCCTGGGGACAGGGCGACGGTCTCTCACGAGAGCCCCCTCTTGGCCGTGTGCACGTCTCACCTGCTGTCGAGCAGTGGCCCTGGCTCTGGGGTCCCCCCTTTCACAGACGAGGGCTGCACAGTCCAGGGCGGCAACAAGCGCAAGGTCGCCAGGTTGTCAGGTGTCAGAGCTGAGATTTGATCTGTGCTGTTCCCCTCCAAGTCTGGCTCCTTCCCTTCTCCCGGGAATTTGATGAGCACGGAGAGAACAGGGGACAGTGCGTCTGGAGGGGGTGTGGGAGAGGAAGGAGAAATGACAGTTCTGCCGGAGGTGGATACGGACGGGTGGCAGAAATACTCCCAGAAGGGGACTGATTTCTTTGCGTGAAGCAGAGTTTTGCAGGCTTTTTAACCCAAACCCTTTTATGATGAGCATAACATTATGAGGGGTCGTGAGATTTGTATCTGAAGCTTCAACACGATAAATGAACGAAGTCTTGCGTTCAAGAGCCAGTCAAAGCAAGTCTGACGCTGATGTGAAGGTTGGCCCGCTGCTGCTTCTCCCTGAGCTGTGCCACCTCCTCTCCTCCATGGAGAGTAACTGGCACCAGGATTTCTCCCATGGGTTTGGGGACCATATGCCATAGTATTGTAATGACTGAGGAGTGTTGCTGGGGCTGTGTGTTAAGGCGGCGGGCACGTGGCCTGTGTCTGAGCTTGGAGGCTGGACTGACTTCTGCGGAGAAGCCCGCTGAAGCCGAAGTCCCTTGCAGGCCTGCCGACAGGCGGGCGGCGCCCTGGGGAGCTCAGCGTCCCAAGGGCCCTGCGCATAGCCACCCTCCCTTGTTCACCCTCCGTCCCTTCCCTCTGCAGCATGTCCCAGGATTTGTCAGAGGCCGTGAAGGCGGCCTCCAGGGAGGTACACAGCCAGGCGGAGAATTCCGAGTTCATGAAGAACTTTCAGAAAGGCCAGGTGACCCGAGATGGCTTTAAGGTATGTGGCCTGGGGGGACCAGCCCTGGTGTGGGAGGGTATGACGGGTGTGGGTGTGTGTGCCCAAGGCTCAGGGCAGTGGTGTAAGTGGGGATCAGGACCAGGGCTGCCGAGGGACCAGATGGGCATGTCCAAGGGAATCATTTTACAGGATGATGACCTTGAGGCTCAGAGAGGGGAGGTGACTTTCCCAAGGTCGCGCAGCAAATTCACATCCTGTTGTGTAGTGTGGTGGAGGAGCTGGGGCAGTAGTGCCATAAACTGAGCACCTAGTCCGTGCTGAGTGTTTTTACACACTTGCTTTCTAATCTGTGCCTCAACCTTGATATGGAGGATGAGGAAAGGAAGGCTCAGAGAGCTTAAGTAACTAACAAAAGGTCACACAGCTAGTAAGTAAATGAGAAAAGCCAAAATCAAACTGAGGCTGGTCTCATTTCAGAGCTTTATGCTCCTGATCTAATTATAAGCTGCCTCTGAAGGCAAAGGGGCAGTGTGGGTTCCAGCCGGAGCACAAACATTTGCTAACAGTTAAGACTGTGGGACCCTCATCTACCGTCCTTAAGGCAGCTTTCCTGCCTCTGTGAAATGGAGTTTCAACAGCTTTTTGCTGGGCACTGATTTTGCTACTTCCCAGCAGGGTTGTGAAATTCATGCAAATAGAAGGGAAGCACTTGACACCCAGGCAGGTGCCGGGGGACCAGAGTGTGGGGGCGGGGAAGCAGTACCTGGTGCCCTCCCCTCAGCGATTTGGACCCTGCCCCATGCCCACCGTGACGGGAGATGCGGTTCTCGGGGGTCGGGGCCCTGGTCTAGGCCTTGATCCGTCTTCCTCATCCTCCTCCCTCCCTCAAAAAGATGACACACACCCAGTCCCTGTACTGTGGCTGGGGGCAGCGGGGTGGGAGGTGACTTTGGACCATGCCCCTAAGGCACTGAGTTCAGAGCGTGCACACAGATCCGCGAGGGCACCCAGTGCTCGCTGAGAGGATGCTGATGGAGGTGGCAGTTATCACCACGCCTCTGACGTCACTGTTGATGCCCAGTGCTCTGCCCGTCCCATCCTGCTAGACCCTTCCCTCAGCCCCCCTTTAGGATATGGTCAGATTATCCCTGTTTTCAGAGGAGGGAACCGAGGCTTGACTTGCAGAGTCACACAGACCTCAGACCGTCTCCTGCTCTGGGGTGGGAAGCTGAGAACCAGAGAGGGCAAGTGGCTTCCCTACGGTCACACAGCTGAGGACTGGCTGAGCCCCCATTAGAATCAGGTCTGTCACACTCAGAGTGCCAGGCTGTTTTGTACCAGGCCGCCTGGCTTTCTGCCCCATTGAGCAATGGGGCTGTTGTCAAGATTTATGATTCAGAAGTAACTTGGAAATCTCAACTGGAAAGTCTAAACTTTGTCCTCTTTCAAACTCAGACTAGAGTCTGAATGTGGGACGGGAGTTCCCCGGAGCCAAGGTGCACTGGGCCTGTCCGCCAGCCCAGCATCCAGAGGGGGCGGGGCTCAGCATGGGCCTTTGGGAGGCAGAGTCGGCCCTGCAGATGCTCACCAGAGGGCAAAGGCCAGAGGTGCTCTTCCAGTCAGCCGCTCCCGGGCCCACCCGGCCTGGGCTGGACTCCACTTTGGTTTGACCTCAGCGTCTCACCCCCTCTCTGAGCCTTAGTTCCCTTTTCTGTAAAATGGGGGTGGCAACTCCCTTGTGGGGTTTCTATAAGGATTAAGTTAAGCTGCATGTTTCACCGCATGGGATCCCGGGGTTTGGGGCTCAGAAAATGCACGCTCAGGTTTTCCTCGTGCGAAGCTCCCCTCTGGCCGCCATGTGGAGAGGATTGGCAGGGGCCAGCCTGGCGGGGGCGGGGATGGGGCTGGGGGCCGTGCTCAGGCTCGGCGGCAGTCTGAGCGCCCGCTCTGGTTCCAGCTGCTGATGGCCTCCCTGTACCATATCTACACGGCCCTGGAGGCGGAAATCGAGGACAACAAGGAGAACCCGGTCTATGCCCCCCTCTACTTCCCAGAGGAGCTGCACCGCAGGGCCGCCCTGGAGCAGGACATGGCCTTCTGGTACGGGCCCCGCTGGCAGGAGGCCATCCCCTACACGAAGGCCACCAGGCGCTACGTCCGGCGCCTCCAAGAGGTGGGGCGCACCGAACCCGAGCTGCTGGTGGCCCACGCCTACACCCGCTACCTGGGTGACCTGTCGGGGGGCCAGGTCCTCAAGAAGATTGCGCAGAAGGCGCTAGACCTGCCCAGCTCCGGCGAGGGCGTGGCCTTCTTCACCTTCCCCAACGTCGTCAGCGCCACCAAGTTCAAGCAGCTGTACCGCTCCCGCATGAACTCCCTGGAGATGACCCCCGAGGTCAGGCACAGGGTGATCGAAGAGGTCAAATCCTCGTTCCTGCTCAACATTCAGGTGAGGGTCCAGCAGCCCTGCTGGCCGCCTGCCCCAGCTGCTCCTCCCGGGGACATTTCCTTTATAGCAGGGGGAGGGGCCGAGGGTCTCGGTGAAGCGTAAGGACTTCAGCTAGGGTTCCGCTTCTGCCACTTACTGGCTGGGTGACTTTGGGCGAATCCCTTAATCTCTCTGTACCTCAGTTTCCACATCTGTAAAATGGGGATATAATAGTACCCACCTCTTAGAGTTTGTTGTCAGGCTTAAATGAGTTTATACCACCAAGTCCCTATCGCAGGGCCTGGCACAGGGTCGGCCCTCCAGTGTCAGTTACTGTGATTGGGGTGTGAGCATCATGGTCATAGCACACTCTGATAACACCCTGTGACAACATAGAAGTGGTGTGTGCCTTTGTGTGTGGCCGGGTTGGCACTGCAGGGGTTGCAGGTGCCCCAGGTGCAGCCTTTGCCTTCCGGGGCCCCTCAGCCCAGCCCAGGAGGCAGGTGCATCTTTCTACAGGTGCCTCAAATCTGGCGGACGATGGGCTTTGACAAGGCCTTGAAGGATGGAATCTCAGGTGGAGCTGGGGGGGCAGGTGTTGCGAGTGGGGGTGAGGTCCCTTCTAACCCACATTTTGTAGAATCCTGTCGCCCTCCGCCCACCTGAAGGCGCTGTGGCTCCCGGTTCCCAGCCTGGACCTCAGAAGAGACTGGTCCAGGCACCCGTGGAACAACACCCCTCCCTTGCATTCCCCCAAAAAACCAACAACATCAAAACCCTGTCAACCCTCCATGAAAGTCTGTGTCTCTGCTGAGCCAGGCGCGTGCGTCTTCTGTCTTCCAGCTGTTTGAGGAGCTGCAGGAGCTGCTGACCCGGGACACCAGGGACCAGAGCCCCTCGAAGGCTCCGGAGCTCCGCAGGCGGGCCGGCAGCAGGGCGCAAGGTGAGGGCCTCCGGGGGCGGCGTCTCCCCTGGGCTCTGCCGGAGGGGCACATGGCCCGCCTGGCTGCCTCCAGTGTCTCTTGACCCTTGTGTCTTTTGAATGTTTTAAATGAGAAGGAGGGGGCAGGGAAGAGGGCCTGGGGTCAGCCCTCAGTGCATGACCCCGGGAAGCCGTGTAACCGCGCCACACCGCAGTTTTCCCAACCCTGAAATCGAGGGCAGTCGAGCTGGTTCTAGTTCGCTGGCTCAAAAGGGAAGACTTGCATAAAGGGCCCTGGGAAGTCCTGGGCAAAGCCATCCCCCCGCTTAATATAGGTTCCTTTTGGAGCCCTCTAATGGTTCCTGAGCAGAGACCCTGACGTCGGGCAGGGAGCCCAGGGCCTGCTCTGGCTATTACCCCGCCCTGAGATGCTGGGACGACACATAACCCCCGGGTCTTGCGCTGTGTGTGTCCCTCCCTCACGTGCCTCAGAGAGCTATCGAGGTTGTGGCTGTTTTGGCAGAATAGCTGGGAAACTTCCAGAAACTCTAAAATGCTCCGCAAAACGCCCCGTCTCTCGTGGGCGCGTGCGTGGCTCTGGGAGGCGGGGTGGAGAGGTGAGGCTCAGCCGTCTGCCTGGCTGGTTCCTTTAGGCCTTGGCTCCTGGAGTCCCCGGAACCCACCTGGCCCTATGGCTTTCCCACGGGTGCCAGGACCACGTGGGACCCCTCTGTTGGCTGCATTGGGCCTGGGAGCATTGGAACGTGGCTGGTCCTGATGGGACTGGCCACCTGGTGGGGTGAGGGGACTTCGCCCCAATGCGGCAGTTCTTGAAGTGTGGTCCCTTGGAGCACCCCTACGTTCTCACAATGTGGGCTGGCTGAAAATGGAAGAAGGCACAGCTTGGAGAAGTAGTGAGCTCCCTGTCTTGGGAGGTATTCAAGCAGTGGCTAGGGGGCTACCTGTTTGTATTCTAGCAGGATCCTGGCATTGAGCAGGGACTGTACTGCTGTGTTTTCTTGTGACATCAGACCCCCTCCCACCCACCTGTGTTGACACTGCTCCCTTTCTCTTTCAGACCCTACGCCCTCAGAGACTCCCGGGGGAAAGCTCCCGCTCAGCATCCTCTCCCCGGTGCCGCTCCTCCGGTGGGTCCTCACACTCAGCTTTCTGGTGGCCACGGTTGCCGTGGGGCTTTATGCCATGTGAACGCCAGCGTGCTGGCTCCTGGGGGCTGAGAACTCTGCCTGGCCGAAGGCCCTCTCTCTCTGGAGGAGAATCTCTCGGCTGGCTTCTTCCTTTGGGCATAGGGGGCTGTCTGGCCCCCACCTTCTCCCTGCATCCCTCCCTCTCTGGAAAGGAAGAAGTCTGCGGCGTCTTCCCCAACCAACAAGCACAGCCGGCCCCATGACCTGAACTTTAAATTGGGACGAGGGGTCCCGCCGGCCCCTCAGCATCCCTGTTCCTGCCCGCTGAGCCCAGAAGTCATGGCCAGCAGTGGCAGCTGTCCAAACCTCCAGAGGCCCTGGGGTCACGGTCTCCTGACATGCCGTGACCGCTCTCCCCTGGGCCAGGGCGGTTTTTATGTAAACGTGCAAAGATGTTGTGTCCCGCGTCTCTGTCTTGTTTTTGTTGGAGCCACTTTTTGTTCCTGGCTTGGCCTGAACCGGGTGTTCTGTTGTGTTCTGTTAGGTTTTTGTAGCAGGGCTGGGGTGGGTTTTGGGGGGTGGGGTGCAGTGGGGAGAGAGGCGTTTAACAGCTCTGTGGCCTTGGTCTCTAACTTCCGTGTGAAATAATAAACTCCCCTGCCTGATAGTAACTCCGAGTGTTTTTCTTGGGCTCTGTTCCCCGGGGGACGGACCTTCTCGCTTGTTTCCTGAGTGCTGGGTCCCGGGACGAGGGGAGGGTGGCGGTGGTGGGAGCTGTTTTTGGATGTTGGGCTCTGTTCTGAGAACGTGGGGGGTGAATTTGAAGCTGAGGGTGGTGCATCTTTGTGGCGAACCCTGCTCGATGCGAGACACAGCTTTACCGAGGGTGGGCTTGCCCTGCGAGGCTGCAAGGAGCAGATTCTGGGATAAAATTTGTGCCCTGTACAGTGAATCTGAAAGACCTGAGACCCTGGGTTCAAAGCCCCGCTCCTCTGGTAGCCCTGCCTTGGGGGTTAGGTTCAGCCTCGCTGGGACTCACATCTGTCGCTGAGATGTGAATACGGCGAGACCCCCCTCACCTCCCGCCTTGAGAAGCACATGAGATGTACGCGAGATGCCAACCCTATACTGTTACCGAACCTGAAGTGAGTTCGCTCACCCGTTGCGCAGCAAGCCAGTCTCTGACACCAGGTGTGGTGGAAGAACGTAGGAATTTTATTTTTGCACAGTGCTGAGCAAGGAGAGAGGGCAGCTAACGCTCAAATCCCAAACTCCCCGAAAAGCTAAAAGGAAGGGTTTTTATTTGGGGGTTTAGGTAGGGGAGGGGGAGCATATGGCCTTGCTGGTTGGAGCTTTCCCACCAGCCTCTCTTTGGCCTTGAGACTACTTGCAGAGATGAGGGAGCCCGTGACCTTGCTGGTCAGCAGCTTTCCCACCAGCCCGTATCTCTTTGTGGGGAGGAGATGGTCCAGGTGCTTGTCCTTGACGGTGTCTGTCTCCACGGAGGATGGAGGATAGCGGATTCCGGAGGCGGGAAGCCAGAGAGTAAGCAGGGAATGAGTGTTTTGGTTTTAACCCCATATATGCTGGGTTTAATGTGGGGAAACTGATACCAGGGTCGATATCAGTACCACGTTAGCTCCCGTTAGGAAACGATGGAGATCAGGGTTTGTGATGTTTGCTAAGTGATTCCTGTCCTGAGAGCCACCTCCCCTGTGTCATCTCCTTCAATCGTCACAGCAGACTCGCGAAGGGGTAACGACTCTGAGGGGCAGGAAGGATGTCAGCCAGGTCTGCCCAACCCTAAAATTCAAGCCTTAAAAGCCCAGGAAGTCACAAAGCCACCGAAATACTACATATGCCGCCTGCCACTCCAGGAAAGTGAGAACCCCTCCCTGAAGGTGCAGGTGGGACGCCAGGGGACACAGGCCTTCCTTATATGGCTGGGATGCAAGGACTGGGAGTCAGAAGTCCTCTGCCCCAGACTCAGCTCCATCACTAGGTCTGGAACCTTGGGCGTCACCTCAAGTTTCTGTTCACTGGCAAAGAGAACAAGACGCCCGCCTCCCACGGCAGGCGGGAGGCCCGGGGCCACCAGACCCCGGCGATGTGGCATGGGGGGCACTCCGGGATTCGGGCTGCCCCAGAGGTTCTGATTCTGGACACCTGGCAGGAGTCTGGAACCCGATCGTGGAAAAGCTCCGGGAGACTCCACGTGGCGGAGCCCAGGGGCCCGGCTCATTGTTGGTGGTGACAAAGGAAGGAAGGAAGGAAGGGGCGGGAAACGGCCCCATAATGTGGGTTCTGCGCCTACTGCGGAAAGTGTAGCGGCTGTAAGTAGGCTGGGTTTCATCTAAGCCACCACCCAGAGAGGAAGACGAGAAGAGGAGGAAGAGGAGCAGAGCCAGGTTCGAGCGCACTTGAGACCGTCTTCACACGCTGCAAACACACGCATTTCGAACCGCGAAAGCTACGTGTGCACGTGGCAAAGAATAAAACGCCCTTTCCGGCTCCTTTGGGGGTGGGCAGGGGAGTGAACGCGTCGTTTCGCCAAATCTTCCCGTTTTTCAAGGTAGCTTGGGGATCCGGCCGTGAACTTTCACAAATTTTAGGCACTGCCAAATAATGAAAACTCTGCTACAATTAAAAAAAACAACCAGTACTTGGGTCTAAGAAGACATCCCTTGAGTCCCAAGTCTGGGATGAGTTTAACGCCCAGAGCTGTTAGGGAGACCCGAAGTGACTTTTTTCCGACAAACCTCGGTGTTTCGGGAGAGCATGGGACCGGGAGAGGACCCGGGCGGGGGCGGGCGGGTGTGTAGCGGCGCGGGCCCACACTGCGCCTGCGCGCGCTGCTCGCGGACCTACGGCTTCGGAACCCCAAGTGCTTGCACCCCAGGCTCGGAAAGGGGCCGCTGTCTCAGGAGACTTTTAGTAGGGTTCCCGGCCCGCCCCGCCGCCATCTTTGCGCCCGCCCCGCCTCACCCCGCGTCGCCGCCTCCTCCCCCTTCAGAAGTTTCGCGCCAAACTGTCCGGCCTACAAAATGGAGCCCGGAAGGAGGTCTGGATGACGTCAGGCGCCCCGCAGCCAATCCGCTTCGGCGGCCGCGCCCGGGAGGCGGGGCTCGCCGGTGCAGAGCGATCCAATCGCTGGCTGCGGAGCCCTGGTGAACCAATGAGGGCGCGGCGGCCGCGGCTGGCGGAGGCGGAGTCTCGCTTTTCCCGCGAAAGTCGGCGGCGGAGCGCGGGGCGGCGGAGTGAGAGAAGGGATAGGTGAGGCCGCGGCGCCCGGGCGGCGGGGACCCCGGGGCCGCCTCGCGGGGGTCGGCGGGCCCTGCGTTTGGGGGCGCGGTCGGGGCGGGCGGGGTTGCTCCTGGGAGACCTGGGGTCGCGTCGGGGGAGCGCCAGTGGCCGAGGAGCCGGCGTCGCAACGCAGGGAGGCCGCGCGCCCGCTGCAGCACTCTGTCCCCGCGCCAGGTGCGGTCATGTCGGGCTTCGACGACCCCGGCATCTTCTACAGCGACAGCTTCGGGGGCGACGCGGCGGCCGACGACGGGCAGGCCCGCAAGTCGCAGCTACAGAGGCGCTTCAAGGAGTTCCTGCGGCAGTACCGCGTGGGCACCGACCGCACCGGCTTCACTTTCAAGTACAGGTGCGCCCGCGGCTGTGCGTTGCACGTTGTGTCCCTGGGGTTGACGTTTGAGCGAGTCACCTGTTGGGCGGGCTGCTAAGAAGTCAGCCAGAGCCACTGGGCCCTTTTGGTTCCTTTTCCGGACCTGTTGCTTTACTTCTTGCTGTCCGTGCATGTCATGTCCGTGATGCCTTGTAAGCTCAAGTTCACTGCGGGTGCCAGAGGGGAAGGTGGTAGGTAGGATGGATCGTTCCCGGATCCCGATCTTGTAACTTCTGTGGGTTCAGCACCTGCTGCTTGTGCCAGGCCAGGCACTGTTCCAGGTGCCAGGCTATGGGGCTGAATGCGCTGGGAAGGTCCTGCTTTCGGGTCAGCGTACAACCTGTGACACATGCCCAATCCTCCTAAGCCCTTCTGATGCGGAGAAAGTGAGTTTGCAGGTCCAGCCTTGGGGCTGACTGGTTATTATCCGGTGACTTCTGAGGGACCCTCTAAGGTGACTTCTAAGTCCCCCTGGGCCTCTGTTCCTTTGTCAGTAAAATGGGCACAGCTGCTCCCGCCTCTGCTTAGTCATGCACCCGCTGACGTGGACCACCCATGTGTCAGACACCGTGCTGGGTGTTGAGGTGCAAAGATGAAAAGATTCATACCACCTTGCCCTCAAGAAGCGCACACGTCAGCAGGAGTGAGGCATAGAGACCAACAAAGAGATTACAGGCTGTTAGTCCCTTCAAAGGAGGAATGTAAGAGAGGAGTTAGGGAGGGCTTCCAGGGGAGCCCAAGTTCGGGTGACCCTTGAGCAGATAGAAGAGTTCAGGTGAGGGAGGCATTCCAGAGGGGAGCGGTTGTGTGCCTGGGCAGAGGTGTGGGGTGGCCTGTGATAGCAAGGGGCTCCCCGACGTAAGGTAGGAGGGGATGCAGCTGAGGAGCAGCCCCTGCGTAGGTCACTCGTCCCCAGATGTGACTTTGGGACAGTAGTCCCATGGGATGCTCTGTAAAAAGGATCTACAGACACGGTCTCTGCTGCCTTCAGTCTCCAAGTTCGATTTGGGTGCCTTGTTCGTCCCCGAGAGAGTTAAAGGCTCCGGGAGTCCTGTAGTGGAAGAGCCGGTTTGCTGTGAGAGATTCCCAAGCTGATCTGTGCGCGGAACCCTGTCTTTGAGCCATGAAACATTCTCTGCCTGCCTCCTGGACCGCTTCTGTGAGGATGGCTCTGGTGGCAGTGGGGGACCTCTGCAGCATCAAATAACAGAGCCCCCTGGGATGCGATGTGTGTTTGAGAGGAGTGGGGGGCCGTGGTGGCCACTGTGTGGGCACATTCGGGGTGCAGGTGCACCTCAGGCAGCGTTGGTCTCTGCACCCTTCCCCGCCCCCACCCCGCCCCCTGCCCCCTCCAGGGATGAACTCAAGCGGCATTACAATCTGGGGGAGTACTGGATCGAGGTGGAGATGGAGGACCTGGCCAGCTTCGATGAGGATCTGGCCGACTACTTGTACAAG